GGGAGGGAGAGAGAGATTTGAGGGGAGGTTGCTCTTGTGAATGGGCAAACTTCTTTCAGTGGCAGATGGGGAGTTGGAGAATAACTTCTCATCCAGGTGACAGTGTCTACGATTTGTGTATATTTTATAAAGGGCCGTAGCCCGGTGCTGGTCCCTCCTAAGCTTGGTCCCGGGAGGGGTGGGCTGGAACCAATCCTAACCTTTGGCTTAAGCACAAAGTGGCCATTTGTGTGTATTTTATCTTTTCCTCAAATGCAATTATTATTTGAAAAAAGCAGATTTCATAATGAACATTACTTTAAAAGTCGAGTAAAAGTACCAAAAGCCACCCTAAACACGGGTATCTTGAAGTCGAGGAATAAGAACCCTGATCAACTAGGACAAAAAGGGACCAGATAGGCCACTTTACTCTCCAGCAACCTAGAAAGATAGGGATGGAGAAAATAAATACATACACCAATATTCTATTTTTGAATATGTCAATGATCGTAATAAGTGAAAAGGATGTACATATCACAAAAAAATGGCTACCCACAGGTTGGGAGCTCTATACAAAAACCACCTGGATAGTAGTAATCGACAAAAAATGCTATACAAGCATAGGAAACAAAAAAACAGGGGATGTGCAAATCTGCGAGCAAACCATTCTTCCGCCTGGGCAGTACCTTGTTTGGCTAGACCCCCGGCTGCTTGGTTGGCCTCGCGCCAAATATGCACCCATGAGCTCAGTACATGCCTCCAAATGTCGAAAATCTCGTCAAAAACCAAAATGAGTCGCCATGGGGGTGTGGCCTCTCCGGAGGCCCAAGAGATGACATTTTTGGAGTCTCCTTCCACGACGAGGGAGGAACTCCAAGAGTTGAAATGTTTGAGACCTTCCAATAGGGCGAGAGCTTCCGCCGTGGTGGATTCAGCCCGACCAATGGGAGCGGTGAAGAAGAGGGTGACACATTCATGGTTCTTGAAAATTTATCCAATGCCCACCGGGCCTGATTGCGAGGGAGCAACCATCGAAATTGAGTTTTGTTTGGCCTGGTTCCGAGGGATGCCAGAGGTAGGCATAGGGAATGCAGTGAAGCCTGAAAAGAAGAATCGTCTGCCAGTTGAGGAGGAAGTCTGAGGTCGATAGAAGCTCAAATATTTTGTGGTTAGTAGCCCAGAATATCACTGTGGACCTGATGGAATCCCAAAGGCCATGGGGTGTGTGGATTGATCCTAGAAGATCCTTTTGATTGATCCTGGAAGATCCTTTTGTTGCGTCCCTTCTAAATGGTCCAAAGAGACGCATCGACATAGGCATGGTGCCTGATTCGGGCCACGGGAGGAATTGCATGTGTTGAAAAAGGTGGGTATGGACATAGCAGTTACCCAAGTCCACTTGAACAGGCGAAGCTGGGGGAGGAGGTCTTCCCACAATTGTTGAGTGAAGCTGCAATGGGTGAAAAGGTGCGAGTTGGTTTCCTTGTCGACCTTGCACATGAGGCAGCGATTGGAGATGATTCTTGAGGATGTAATTAAAAAATAATACTCAGAGGAAAGTCTCCCCAAGGCAAGTTGTTCCAAATTGGATGACTCTAATACTGATAACCCAATGCCACTTCTATTCCCAGTGTCTTTCACAAATTTTGGAAAATCACAACTTCCTTGAGTCAAAGACTGAGTGAGCTCTCCCTACACTGGCAAGAAATTTATCCATTATCCCCTCCATTTTGTGCCTTTTTGTTTCTTTTCATTAGAGTCCATTTCCAAAATATTCATTCAAAGGACACTTTAATGCTTGAAAAGAGTCCATTTCCAAAATATTCATTCAAAGGACACTTTAATGCTTCCATTTAATCTAAAACAGGGAAAATACTTCCCATTTCAAATTGTCAGCTTTCCTCAGAACCATTATAATTAAAGAAACTTTGCTCATAGCCACAGACTTACATTTGCTTTCATCTCACTAGAAAGCAGTTTCCTATTTAAACTTCGCATCCCAAAGGCCCAACACCCAAGCATGAAGTCTCTGAAAAATCAAGTACAAAAGACCCTCTTCCAGTTCATCATGAAAAGAACATAACTGAAGACTAGGAAATCTTGAAATTTCAAAATTTGAAACTGGGTTATTTGTCCTTCGTCTAGAGTCTACTGCAATTATTGGGTTGTAATAGCTTTTGTCTCAAGCCCACATTGATTGCATAATTTTTATAACCGCAATCCACCTATAAATAAAAACATATTTGGGTATATTTGGATACTACCTCAAGATTTAGAGGGCCAAACCATGGATGAAAAAGAAAGGAGGTGATTCAACCATTTAGGGCATATGTGGATGCCCATTTTGGATTAAGATTCGTTTGCGGTTAGAGGGCCCAACCACATACGGGAGAAAAAGAGTCGACCTTCTTTGTCTTCATCAACAGAACACACTCATCTGTCAACACTTCACAGCTCCATTTTAGAACACCCAAAATCAAGTTCAGCCTTCGCCAAAATATCTCTTTCTCTCACTTCCCCATTGCCCTCTTTCTCTCAAGAAAACCATCTCTTCTTCACTTCTCTAAGTTTCTCCCTCTAGCAGGAGGCTATTCTTGAATACTCACAAATCATTGTCTCTCGAGAGGAATCCATCAACACTTTTATCTCTCTATAGGATTTTCTCATTGAATACCAGTAAATCTGTTTTGCCTTCCTCTCTCTTTGTTTTGCCTTCCTCTCTCTGTCTTTGTTTCTTTTAAAGAAACCAGCAAAACTTGTGAGATTTTCCTCCTCTCTCTCTCTCTCTCTCACTCTCTCTCTCTCTCTCTCTAGAAAACCAGCAAAGAGGATTTTAGGTTTGCGACTCACTTGAGGGAGGCTCAAGTATGGTTACATTCCTAAATCCTGATATCAAAGATTACGAAGGAATATCCTGATATGATGATGCCACTTTCTTTGTCTTCCCATTGCCTATGGTCCATGACCCAGGAAAATAGAGAGAAGATACAAAAACAGTCCAATAACCATCAAAACATGACAAATTTGAGTGGATTTGGCTTTCTTTGAACAAAAGATAGACCCCAAAATGTAGGGCTTGCTATTACTACTCATAGCCAGTTTTTACTGTTTACGCCCCAAAAGAATTAGAAACCCTAACACCGAGGCCCTTTTATTATATTGTAACAAAGAAAATACAAAACTACGCCCACTTAATTTAACATTATCAAAACCCCCATATACCCCTTCACTTAAATGAAAACATAAAAAGTCCCTAAACTACCCCTAGCTTTAATTAAAATACTAGAAATCACTAAGAGACTATAGAAAACAACAATAAACTAAACTCCAAAAAGTCGGCCTTCCCTCTTGGATCTCCTTTCAACCTTAGATATGGATCATCATAAAGGGTCATCAAAGGATGGACAGATTGTGTCAAAAGGCCCATGACAATTGTCTTGACTAGTTGAAGGACTACCTGGTGCATCATTTTCCCCTGCTTGGAAAAAACTCGAACTCAAGTTCCATTCTTCTATTGCTACTTTGAGTCCATGGTACTTGAAAAGATCAGAAACATTGAATATATTCGAGGTCTCAATCTCAGCTGGAAGCTCCATTTTATAGGCATTACTTCGCATCATCTTCAACACCCCAAACTGTCTGACTTCTTGTTATTCAGCTTGTAGTATTTGCCTATAGGATGCCTATCTTTGCATAGATAAACCATCACACATCTCTCACATTAGAAAGACTTGAGATCAAGGTGTGCCATGTTACACTCGCCCCCCCCCCCCCTCAAACATAGACATTGGATCAACCATGTTTTGGGCCCATTGGGAACTGCCATACTTGTAGTACATAAGCACAACATACTTGGTCAGTTGGTCCTAAACACATCAGAGAATAGTCTACCACGAACTGTGAAGTGGCTCAAGATAAATCCTGTGTTACCCCCGTGATTTCCTTCAGCTCACACATAATTTATCAAATATAGAGGTTCTCCACTGAAAACAAACAACAATTGAAGTTGAACTCCAACATCAAGAATCACATAATCAACCATTCGATGGGCGCCTTTTATATTGAGCTCACTAACAAAAAGCCCATTGGAAAATATCACCATACCCTTTGGCATACCTCACATGGTACCCCCCCATGTTCGGGCAAAACATCAAGAGAAACAAAATCCTTAGTTCCTCACTACCACCATCTCCTTGATCCTCCTTGCCCTTACCTTGCTACTCTCCATAGATAAATATCATTCATCAAATCATCATCAAGATGGGATAAATGTTAAAGACGGGATAAATATTAAAGACATGGTCACCATCTCTATCAATAGGTTCCTTGTAAACATTGGATCACTCATGAAATCACATCCATCATTAAGAACTTGGGGAAGAAAGTCCCCTCCCAGATCCTCATCAACTACTCGAGGTGTAACCATGCTACGCCAAATCACCAAAGCCGCCCCATGATCACTATAAGTCACTTCCTGTTCCTCTTCATCAACCGGCTGATCGTAGACGGGATCACCCTCAAAAGAGTGCTTGCTGTCCTCATCATAAGACTCCTCAGCAAGATTAACAAAGTTGTGATTTGAGCACTATGATGACACATGCCTAACACTCGAACAGTTGTAGCACTTAATGTTGCTACTGACACCCCTTTTGCATCGCCCCACTCCCGAAACAACTCCTTTTTGATCCAGGGCACCTTGCTGGTTGGTTGTTACTATTAGTGCGAGATGTAGAACCAGCACCCATTACACCGTCTTTTCCTCCAAAATCACCACCACGAGCAGCTGCCCTAATCCCCCCATCACTCGCACCCAGACACCACTTGTTTGAGGGTCATTTCTGCTGATTTCAACCCTCTTTGTAAAGTTGTAGACGTCATCAAGGGTTCAATACCGCCTGCAAGACTACCAAATCTTGAATTGATTGGCGAAGTCCATTCAGATACCTGGATCGATCACAATACCACGGGCAGTCAAAAGGTGAAACTCATTTGTGTATTCATCCACCGACCTATCTCCTTGGAGCAACATATGTATCTTTTGATGCAAAGATTGTAAATAGTTTTCATCTTCATCTTCTCCCACGAAACAAATTCAGGTTTTCCCATTTTTTCTCCCCCTACTCTCAGCTGTTCCCACCATACCGAAGCAGTTTTCTTGAATTTAATGGCAATAATTTTAAACCTCTTTATTCTCTGACACGTCCCTATAATCAAATACCCTCTCTACTTTGTTTAACCAGTCAATAAAGTCATCAGGCTGCAACTTTCCCTCATAATCAAGAATATCTAATTTTAGATCTATGGATTTTGTATGCTGCCTATACCTTCGATATATTCCTCTTCACTTGACTCATTAGGCGTAGCATGATCGCAAGAATACTCAACATCGTCTTGGACAGACAAACCTTCATCTCCCCCATAATCGATATTGGCAAGCCGCCTTGTAAGTTCTTGAATTTATCGCCTCAAATCCACTATCTCTTGATCGTGCTCATCACAAGGTGGATCTATATGAATACCCTTGACTCAACCTCTTCTTTCTCCTTTACACCGTCTATCCCCTTATCTTCCTTCTCTTCTCTCTTTATCACCCCTCCACAGCCAAACTCCAGGTCGAGTTCTCCCCCAATCAGGGGAGAATGATGCACCGGATAGTCCTTCAACTAGTCAAGACAATCTCATCAGCCTTTTGACCCAATCAGTCCATGCTGACAACCCTTTTTATGATGATCCATATCCCAAGGTTATAAGGAGATCTAGGAGGGGGAAGGCCGACTATTTGAAGGGGCTTATTTTTTAGTTTATTGTTGTTTTTTACAGTCTCTTAGTGATTTCAAGTATTTTAATTAAAGATAGGGGCAGTTTAGGGGCCTTTTATGTTTTAATTTAAGTGAAGGGACTTATAGAAAATTTATGATGTTTTAACTTAAGTGGGGGTAGTTGTGGTCTTCTTTTTTATTATAATGTAAGACAAGGGCATGGGGGTTTCTAACACTTTTGATGTATGAACAGTAAAAACAGGTTGTGACTAGTAATAGCATGTCCTATCTTGGGTTCTGGTGTCTCTCTTTTATACAAGGAAAGTAAGATCCACTCAAATCTCGCATATTTTAATGGTTTATTGAATTGTTTTTTCCTCCTTTCTCTATTTTCCTGAATCAAATTGGTATCAGAGCTCACGGTTTCTTCAACAACAAAGCCATAAAACTACACCAAGTCTAAGGTTTGCTGATTTGGGGCCAAATTCCACCAAATAAGCCTAGAACTTCCTAATTTCAGCAAGGTTTTGTGGGTTCCTGCCTAGGGTTTGTGATTACAACGAATCTATGGCAACAAGAAGAGGCTGTAGAAGGGGAATTTTCCCAGATCCACACAAATCTAGCATATTTTGATGGGTTTACTGAATAGTTTTTGCCTCTTTTCTCTATTTTCCAGCATCGGTCCAAGATACAGTTGACAGGCTTAGAAAACTCTCAAGCTCAAAAGGAAATGGCTAAGAGAGCCTAATATTAAATAAGCAAAATGTCTTAAGCTCAACCAATCAAAAACTTTGGCTCAAGCTCAGAGAAGAAGTCCCAGCAAAACAAAAAAAAACTAGAATTAAAACAATGTGGACGAGATCGAGAAAATGCCAGGAAGGCTACCATATGATTGCTGGAAAAACTTGTGAGCATCCCAAAAACAAGATATGTTTCAATGACAGGATTCGTTTTTGGAAAGATTAAGGTGACCAGGTCCAGGGAAAATAAAAGGAAATGACAGTCCGAAAATTGCTGTCTAAAAACAGTGTGGACACAGTAGTCGAGCCCTACAATGCCATTCTCTTTGTTCATCTATTGGTTGAGAAGACAGATTAGTACATTGTCCTCAACAATGAAGCACTCTGAGATATCTGCTAACCATTCACAAAAAAAAAAAACAAGAGATGAAGGGGGAGATTGCAGAGAGTTGACAGGGTTTCAATCAATATCGGTGAGTTTCAATAAGGCTCACAGCCAAAAATGGCTGCCACAATACACTAAACAGTAGATTATAATGAATGCAGTTTGTGGAAATTTAAATGGGGGCCATCCACATTTTTAAAAAAATGTAGATTCAAATTCAATTCTAGCCAAACATCCCCTTTGCTTTCTCATTCTAAGAATTGGTATAGATTGGAACCTCATGCCTAACTCCACTCCTCTCAACTGGCTATCAGGTTGGTACTTAAAATTATCTTCAAAGAGCCTCATTGCAGCTTACACATTTATATCCAGTTTATGCACAATGTTCCATTCAATATCAACATGAGCTCTGAATGTATAATGGTTGTTTAAGTGTATTTTACCCTTCAAATTCCCTCGCTGCATCTTACACATTAATCCTTAGACAAGAATTGCACAAAGAAATTGAAAAGAATAGCTAGAATATATAAAATGCAAAAACCTGTAAGAAACAAAGTCCAGGGTTCTCAGAAAAGGGAGTAACACTTCATTTTGAGCTCTGAAATAACAGAAATATCAACTAAAAAACTTGCAAATATTTGCGGAAGTCACATAATTACATAATTGCAGACATCCAACAGTCATGTAAGCAATAACTAAATAGGCTTCAAGAGCTTCAGCTCAAAGACTGAAGTAAGGGTATCATAAAATCAACAAGAATGGTTGTATACTGCATGCCACTTCTGTCGACAAGTCAACACAGCAGCTTGAGAGTTATGTTATGTACATACTTCTCTTTTCCTTGAAGCAATGCACGATCCATGCCAATTCTAATCACTGGGAAAATAGCTCGATGCATAACTCAATATCAAGAGATAATGAACTACAAGTACCTCAGGACAAATACTTTTCCCTTGAGGGAAATCACAATAAAAACAATTTACCAAGAGAATTTCGAGAAAATCTGAAGCATATCTAGTTAATCAAGACAATGCGAGTAGAGAAAATCAAGACTTAACTACTTTCAAATGTATGAGGTAAAAAAACACCACCAATTATTAAACTTAGACGAAACCAGTTGTGCAAATCTGCATTTTCTTATAGATATCATGGAGTTCCAGTTACCTTGCTAATAATCAACTCGGCATGCTTCACTAGCAGTAGAAGGGTCTCCCCAGCTGCAGAACTCAACACAGGTACTAATGCAGGTAAGGTTGAATTCTCAAAATCATTTTTATCCTGCAATGTATCAAAACAATAATCGAACTCAAGATCGATCTTACAGAATTTTCACTGGGAAACCTCACTCAGCAATGCATCAGGAAAGGAATTTCGACTAAATTCAGGCCTTGATGTGCCTAACTTGCACTAGGGCCATACAATGGGAGAAAATTAGAAAGTATATTTTATATAGAAGCAGTGTCAGTGATGCAACTTTTTCTTTCTTTCGGGGAGGAAGAAATTTCATTGATGCAAGTCTGTTTGCAATATGCACAATTTCCCGAAACTATATTTGCCACATATGATGTAGGTACAAAACATAAGTAGTCAAATAGAAAATTGATTAGTAAAATGCAAAAAATTGCCATACCTGAGATTCAGCAATTGTAAGAACCATGGGTAAGATCATTGGCTGCATGACTATGTTGCGAAGCTCTGAACAAAGAGGAGGAAGTACCTGAAATGGGTCAAAGATTCATGTTTAGTACATAAAAAGTAAAATTCATAAATTTCATTTTTTGAGTCACATCAACACTGAACTAAACCAGACAAAAAACAGAGAGAACTACAAGCAACATCAAAAATAATACTTAAAAAGGAAGAAAGTCCAAGCACCCATGGTTTCTCTAGAAACCCCAAACAAGATAAGACATCATCCCCCTCATTTGCATCTCAATGAACAGGTCAGAAATGATATCCAAGGAAATATATGAGTAATAACTCCTCAAATAGTCAGGAAGAATCACTTCTGCCATTACATGTTACCCCCCTGTACACTTAGGCAATAAGTATTCCCAAAACTCCCCCTCTCAAAATGCTTCTTTCCTGGTTAAACCTCCAACACCATTTCCCATACCTTCTAATCCCCCATTGAATCTGCCTCTTTTACTTTTTCACCTTCTAATCCCCATCAATTTCATTCCATTCAATTTGCCTCCTCCCACCTAACCATGTGAAGCATAGAATCCATGCATCTGCAATCCTAAGGAAATTTAGAGGTAGCTTTTCCGATTTACCCACCACACTCACTGAGATTAGAAAGAGTAAAACATGATAACTTTGAAAAGATGGGACAAAGTTCAAAAAATTGACATCAAATAGGATAAACAGAAACCATTTCCTCAAAAAAAAAAGGATAAACAGGTTCCCAGCCAGCACATCATAATACGACAACCAGTAGAGGTACTAGGTCAAGATCCAGAGATATGCTCAACTATCACAATCATTTTCAAATATGTCAATCAATACATAATGGTGTAAAATCTGAACCAGATATCAACTCTTTCTAAAGAATACATTTTATATTCATTACAAATCTTTTAAGTTCATTATTTTTTAGAATCACACTACCGTATTAGTATAATTCCATTATTTAAAAAAACAAAATGAATGAAAAATAAATTGAAAACATCACACCCGTTCTAGATCCCCTATTTCATAACTGATTTATAGGTCGATTACCGTATTTATCAGCATCGGCCCCACATAGATATTGGTATTTATGATGTTATTGGAACCTTGTATTGGCATTATAGGAGAGGGGTGCCCTCCATAACTAGAAATAACAGCCAGCTGAAGGATCTCATAAGGATCTATATCGTTCACAATCAAACCAGCAGACCATGCACGCTCACTATAGGGACAACTGTACAGCACAAAGTATCAGGGCCAGTACCATCTTTTAGTCAAGACTCGAGCACAAAGTGACAGGGCCAGTACCATCTTTTAGTCAAGGCTCGAGCACAAAGTGAAAGGGCCAGTACCATCTTTTAGTCAAGGCTCGGGTCCCTTGGAGAATTGCAGTTATATTGAGGAGTATCATCAAAATTGGAAAGTAGTAGGATGTTCCCTTTCACCACATGCTTAGAAATGGAACTCTTGGGAAAGAGAGCAATTTACCCCCCCCCGGAATAAGTGGAGAGATATGCTTTTTCTCCAAGTACTTGGGGAGGACAATTAGGAACAAGAGTCCAGAATTCGGAAAAGATAGTGAGTGCCCAGGGTGAAGCGAACATCAACCTCTGTAGCAACAGCAAAATAGAAACTGTACCTCTAAATATCTCAAATTTATGTATTTGGGTTACAGAAAGTGTACCCAGTTGTCTCATGACACACTAGCTACCCTTTCAGCACAAGGTCTAAAACTCATATCGCAATAGTCCTGGGAAAAATTAATTTGCCATTGCAACTCCATTCCACTCGACAAAAGCTAATCAGCTAAGACCAAACAAAGAGACTTTCAAAATCATCTTGGACATGGATTACAACTTGTACACATCTAACCCTCACGAATACATCATACATTTCAAATAAAAGAAGAGGAAGGAAAAAGACAGCATCATATCCATCATAATCATCAAGATTCTTGCAGCAATTTTAGTGTTATAAAAAAAACTGAAATCAACAACCAATATATATTAAATTACATGCAAGGACGCATGCGCCTATGTGCCTTAGGATTCACAAAGGTTGAACAAAGGATGTCCCACAACAAAGCAGGGAACCACAAAGGTGTGTGAAACCACTAGATTTTCCACATCCATAATAAACAACAGTGTATTAGAGACTCCAACAATCAAACAATACTGATTTTGTGCAGAATATTCAGATACATGTATGTGTGCATATAGGGATAATTCAAGATTGAATTCGACATGCATTAACAAAATAAAGCACCACAAAAAATGCTATGTGAACCCACCATATTTGTCATATCCACAATGATTTCTTTCTACAAAGTATCATGTACACAAATAATGACTTGCAAAGAAACTCCACAAGATAATGATTGTGAGCCACGGATTCTTTTGACTATGATTGTCAGCCACGGATTCTTTTGACTGGCCCAAGACATTCTCATGTGCTGATTTGTTTTGTTAATGGGGTGGATCTGCTCTCTCTCTCTCTCTCTCTCTCTCTCTCTCTCGTCGTCGTAGTAGAGTAAGAGAGTAGAGTACGGTACGTACTTACGTAACGTAACGTACGTAGTACTACGTAGTACGTACGTTACGT